AACAATACATGTTACAGCAACTGAAGGAAAACAAAAACTCCACATCAAAATACGTCTCTAGTGATGTGTGTGCTGGTGACACCCACAGTGGTAAAGCTTTTTACAAAATGGTTAAATTTACAAGATTCAAATCTGTACAAACCACATTACTGATTCTTATGTCAGATTTTGATATAATTAACACCACATTATTTGCAACCCAGATTAAAATTGAAAATTAGCAAACTACAATTAACAAATCCTTAACAAATACAATCAGAATTCTGACTTAATGATGTGATTCAAGCTCACTTTTTTTTATGCATGGTAAAGTGTGGCACATAAACACAATTTAAAGGTTGCAAACACTCTATGGAAAGCTATGGAGACATATAATGTAAGTGGGTGAGGGCATAGGGTATCAGGTGAATGTGAGGGGGTTAGGATGTCAATTAGATAGGGATGAAAGCTTAGTGGGCAATGAGGAGTGCGTCAGGCAGGAAGAGTGGCAAGTGGTTGATGGTATAGTGAAGCAAGTGAGTGAGAGGTTAAGGTGGCAAGTAAATGTGTGGGGTGTGGTAAGATGGCCATGTGGGTGGGGAGTAAAGTGGCAGGTAAGTGGGTAGGGTGGCACATGGATGATTGAGGCGGTAGGATTGCAGGTGTGTAGAATGATGGCAGCTGGGTAAGGAGGTAGGGATGGACCAGGGGATGGGGTGGAGTCTTGGAGAGAGGAGTTGTGAGTTGGAGGAGAAAGAGTCAGAAGGCTGGGGAGAGTCAGTTGTCCAGGGATGTGGGTGGAGTGCGTTTATTTTTTTTTAATGTACTCATTCACAGGACAAGGGCATCGCTGGCTAGGCCAGCATTTATTACCCACCCCTAATTCCCCAGAGAGCAGTTAAAAGTCAACCACAATGCTGTGGAGGTCTGGACACTCATGTACGCCAAACCAGGGAAGGATAACGGTTACTTTCCTAAAAGACATTAGTGAACAAGATGGGTTTTTCCGACAATCATTCTTAATTCCAGATTTTTATTGAATTCAATTTCCACCATCTATCATGCAGGATTCGTACCTGGGTCTCTGGATTAACAGTCCAACAATAATACCACTTGGCAATCACCTCCCCTAAAGTGTGGTGGGGTGTTCAATTGTTACTCAGGGAGGTGTGGTTGTTTTTACAGTTACCTAGGAGTTGGAGAAGATTTTAATCCTCCGGTGTTTCCTGGCACCTTCCCTATCCAGATAAGTAAGTTGGAACTTTCTAAAATCCCCCAATCTGACTCTGACCCAGCTGATCATTAGTTATATATTTGTAGATGATAGTGCGTCGTGTAGGTGGGAACAAAAAGTTATAAAGAGACAGAAACTCTTACGTGAATGGGATATCTGTGGAGTTTAATGTGTGAGATCATCCACTTTGTATCCTTAAGAAGAAGTTTTCTTGACAATGAGTAGTTAGAAACTGGTGAAGCAAATGGATGTCCAGGATACAAATCACAAAGATCCAGCACACCAGTACAAACATAATCAAGGATTCCTGAAATGTTGACCACTATCACAGAAAAAGAACAGTGAAGAATTTATGCTGCAGTTTCTCAGAGCCCATTTGAAATGTTGCAATCAGTCATGGAGAGGCACCACACATTACAAAAGTTGATTTTTATAGCATTTTTGTACCAGAACAGTAACAGCTCCATTGGTTAAATTACAAGGAAAAGTTGCATTAACTTGCATACATTCCCGTGGGTTCAGAATGATGCTGGGTAATCTAATTGAGGTACTATCTTAAATTATGAAATGATCCATTGAGACAGATCTGGGAGGATAATCTTAAAAATCAGAGCTCAGCCGTTGGGGAATGAAACCAAGAGGAAATGTTTCACATGAAAGATCGTAGAACTGGGGACGCCTCTCAGAGGGTGTAATTGCTAATTCTATTGAAATTTTCAAGTCTGAAATTGTTAAGATTTTGCTGGGTAAGGATATCAAAGGGCATAGGAGCAAAGTAGGTCATTTGTCCCATTGAGTCTGTGCTGGCATTCAGATGAGATTGTGGCTGATTTCATAACCCTCAATTCTACTTTTCTATCTTATCCCCATAACCCTTGATTCCCTTAATGCTTAGAAATCTGTTTATCTCAGCCTTGAATATTCTTAACGATCCAGCCTCAACTGTCCTCTGCAGTAAAGAATTCCACAGATTAACAACCTGCTGAGAGAGACCCTTGTCTATGCTCTCAGGTCCTCTAACAACCTCTCTGCATTCACCCTGTCAAACCCTATAAATCTTACAAGTTCAATAGGGTCTCGTCTTACTCTTTTAAATTCCAATGCATATGAACCCAACCTACTGAACCTTTCTGATAAGAAAAGGCCTTCATACCCAGGATTAACCCAGTAAACCTTCGCTGGACTGCATCCAATGTCAGTATATGTTAGATAACAATTCCAAAACTGTTCACAGCACTCCAGATGTGGTTTGACTAGTGCCTTGTAGTTTTCGCCAGGCCTCCCTATTTTTAAACTCAATTCCCTTAGAAATGAAAGCCAAAATTCTATTTGTCTTCCCTATTAATCCACTGAATGTAGGTGATAGCTTTATGTGATTCGCATGTGAAGACCCCCAAACCCCTCTCAGCTGCAAATTTCAGCAGTCTTTCACCATTTAAATAGTATTCAACTCATCCTCCTATCCCTCTCTTTTTAGTATCTCTCCCTGCCACTGCCTCCTTGTCCAAATACATCCCTGGCTTTTTAAACAGTCTATGCAGATATTTAGCAGTGAGGCAGATGTGAAGTTCAGATCTGAAACTGTTTCTTAAGAGCCCTTTGCGAGCTGTGGACTCGTGTCATTTGTGAGTGAGCGGAAACCACAACAGCTGCCAGTAGCAGTGAAGTGTCGGCAAGAGCAGACCCATGAATTAAAGCTGCCTGAAGACAGGAACCAGATGAGCAGACAAAAATAAAGCTAAAGAACTGCGAATGCTGGAAATCAGAAACAAAAATAGAAATTGCTGGCAAGACTCAGCATGTCTGGCAGCATCTGTGGAGAGAAAGCAGAGTTAACTTTTTGGGTACAGTTCTAAAGGAGGGTCACTCGAGGTAGTCATCAAAAGAAGGAAAATAAAACAATAATCATTGATCCTGATAAAAAGGAGTCAAACAATATCTGATTGACATGGACGAGTTGGATCAAAGAATCTGTTTCTGTGCTGTATAACTGCGATTCTCTCACTTTTTTATTTTAAGGCTGGTAATTTCACGTATATTGTAATTTAGGAAGTTGGTTAGCTCAATTGTCTGGAAAACTGATTTGTGATGCAGAGCCATGCCAAGGTACAAGTTCATTTCCAGTGCAGGCTGAGGTCACTACAAAGGTCCCACATTCTTGACCACATTCTTCAGCTGTGAGGTCTGGTGACTTTTAGGTTAAACCACCACCAGTCATCTCTATCTAAAGAGAGAGCAGCTCTGTGGTCCTGTAGGACTGTGGTGGCTTTATAGTTGTCTGGATAAAAATACTGCTTATCTCAGTTGTACCTTGAGGCTATAGTGGGTATTCTTTTCTAATTAGGGACTTCTTTTAGAAGCAATTTCTAGTTCCTAAATAGGATCCTTGGAATTGGACTTGGTTTAATCCATCTATATTTTCCAGTGCAGTTTCCTTTGACTGTTTATCTTCTGTAGTGGGTCTTCCGCATACTCCTCAGATACTCCTATAGACCTGCTGTCACCTTCTTTTAAAAACTGATGCAGCTACTTACTAACCGCCTCCATCATTACCTCATTCTTGAGTTCAACTTGAAGCATTTATTTCGAAGGGTAGAATCTTCCCAGCCCCTGAATGGTATGAGCCACGGTGAGAAATTTGGGAAAAATGGGTGAGACGTCCAACGAGAGTGTTCCCAATGTTGAGATGAAGTCCCATTTTCCAAGCAAGTGTTGGACTCAAGATTCTCACACATGAGCAGAGAGAGGCCTGTTTATGTGGATTCATGCTCATTATCAACCTCCTTTACTATCTAAACTCACCTCATTGACGTGGTTTACTATACTCCCATCCACCAGATAGAAACGTGACACCAAGAATTCCCAATGTGAAACTCAGCAGGTAACTGGTGACTGCGGCTCACCACGTGCTTGTTCAGACCTCCATCTTGGACACCTGGTACCATGGCTTGGGACACACGCCATGGGGCAGCAATGTACTGAGCCCACTTCCATGGGTCTTTGCGTTCAACACATACCAGCCTCACTGCACCATCATGGCACATCACTAATATGCTTACAGCACACTTCTTCACTGCTGCAGTGTGGAGTGCACCACTACCTTTCATTGTAGTGCTACTGCCAGGACACTTGACACACAGGGACAGGTTTGGTTTGAACTAGGCTACATTTCAGGGATGCTCGCTTGCTGTCTTGGCACTCGCTGACTTTGTACCTACTTCGATGCTTGTTTTGTCTTGCCTTTTTGTGCTTTGCTGCCTCAGCTAAAGCTTAAAGGCTCACAGAGTTTCTACCTTGATTTGCCTTTCAGTGTAGATATAAAGCCAGGCAGCTTGCCATGGTTGTCAGCAGTCATCATTCAAGAGGATTAACTTATTGCTGTACACCATCGTGATGCATCTGAATTGTACTAGGTGCTCGCCATGTATGCGCCAAACGCACCCATTGTGCTTCAAGCAAACGACCATGTCTCAAAGCCTAATGGGAGTAATCCCCAGTCAAGTCTAGGGAGACACTTTTTCAAGCTTGTAACCATAAATCAAGGGCAGCCTCCGATATTAGTCTAGAGCCTTGGGACAGTGAGTGTTTCCATCCTTTCTTTGAATACCTTTCTTTTGTGTATTCTAAATAAAAGGCTATTGTTTTGCACAGATTCTTATTGTGCAAAAATACTTCATGTACATAGGTAAGAAATTGAAAACTGGCAAAAGGACTTGTTAAATTTAATTTCCTCCCTGAATTGAAATTTGTTTTCACCTGGAAAATAATCATCCTGTTTTATTTTCAGGCTCTGTGGGCGTATCTTCTGCTACTACTGCAGCAATAATTTTGTAATGACAAAACACAGTGGTAAAAGAGAGCGATGCTGCAGAGCCTGCTACACAGAACATAGCGCTGTGGTTCAAAGACTGAATGATCCTGGTTCTTCCAGTACTCCAAACAGCCCTGATGAATCACCCTCACACTCCGCTTCTGAAGGACCAACTAGCAGAAACACAGGTAATGATTACTCAGATGGTTTGGAAACAAATTATTCCTGTAATCATGGTACAAGTTACAATGTAGGTACTAATTACCAATACGTTTCAGATGCACAATAGTTTGACAACTAATTATTAACATAATAGGTATTAATTACGAAGTAGGTTCCTGGTTCTGTATCACATGATAGGTTTATATGTGTAATTCAAACTTTAGGCCAAACAGGATCTTGTGATGCACTGCTAGTGTCCCTACCAGAAGACCTCAGTTCAACTCCCACCTTCCTCAAAGGTGTGTAATAACATTTCTGAATAGAGTCATGCAGAATGGAAACAAAGCCTTTGGTCTAACTTCTCCATGCCGAGCAAGTTTCCCAAACTAAACTAGTCTCGCTTGCCTACACTTGGCCTATATCTCTTCTAAACCTTTCCTATTCATGTGCCTTTCCAAATGTCTTTTAAATGTTATAACTGTGCCTACATTTGCTGCTTCTGGCAGTTAATTCCACATTCAAACCACCCTCTGTGTGCAAAGGTTGCCCGTTAGGTCCCTTTTAAATCTTTCTCTTCTCACCTTAAAAATATGCCCCTGTGTAGGTTAATTGAAATAACTATAATTGAGGCTGACACTCCACTATGGCGGGAGTGCATCACTATCATGGATGCAGTCTTTTAAATATGAAATTGAAGCTGTCAAGTAAATATAAAATATCCTGCAGTATGGTTGAAGAACCATTATCTTACTGTCCTAGTTAGCATATGTATCTCAACCAGAACAATATAAAACCGAAAGTGCTGGAGGTACTCAGCAGCATCTGTAGAGAGAGAAACGGGATTAAGGTGACTTCTTTATACGAGTAAAAAAAACCTTGAAACATTAACTGTTTCCTTCTCCATGGATGTTGCTAGACCTGTTGAGTTTTCTGTTTCAGGTATACACCATCTGCAGTATTTTGGTTCTATTTCATTCAGAATGATAGCTCAAATGAACAGTTTAAATTATGGGACTGGGTTACATGAACAAGGCTTGATGCCCCTCAAATGTAGGAGGTTGAGAGATGATCTACTTGAGCTGTATGAGATGATACAATTGATTATGTGGCGAGAAACAATTTCATCTGATGAGAAAGCCCAAAACAAGGGGACATTTTCTTAAAATTATTTAGCACTATGTCATAAAGTTTTCAAGTAAAAGGTAGTGAAAATCTCAACTCACTCACAAAACACAATTATGACAAGGCTGGTTTAAAACTGAGTTTAATTGATTTACAATAACCAATGAAGAGATTACCTGGCAGCTTAGTACCATTGCTGTTTGTAGAACCTTACAAAGAGCTCAGGCATCTTATCTAGGTCAGATGCATTGCTCAGCTAACCACGGCATCCAAACAAAAGTCCCTCGAGTGAATTTAAAAATAACCTCCAACTACACTGCATTCCCCCAGCATTGCGTTTCAGTGTTGTTCTGACTTATGTGCTGAAGTTCTTTTGAGGAGGAGTTGGGGGGAGCAGGATCGATTTCCTTACTAACTGTACCTTCCATGAAGAAAATGAAGAACATGAAGTATCAGGGTTTGCAGGCTGGTTAATAATTCAGTGATCTCTCCTCACATGACTGTAACAATATCTAAATACTGGCCAATAGGGTGGTTAGATCTGGTCAGCAGTTGGAATTTTTATTCATCTTTTGATAGATGTGGGCCATGCTGGCAACATTTATTGTCCGTCCCCAAGTGTTCAGAGAGCAGTTCAGAGTCGACCACCTAGCTATGGGTTTGGATTTGCATGTTGGCCAACTTCATGCTGGGAACTGGGTTGGGTGAACATGAGGGGTAAGTGTTTAGATGCAAGGGGAGGAGCAGGTGAGAGGGAAGAACGAAGGAGGGCAGAGTTGAGTGTGAGGGAGTGTGCATGTGCAAGAGAGGTGGAAGTGAGGGTTTGAGTGAAAGACAGAATGGTGAGGGGTTGGGTGGGGGTGTGGGTAGGTGTTGGGGGTGCGGTCCCTGACTTGCGAATGCTCGACTTGCAAATGCTTGTACATATGAATGTGATCCCACACAGGGGTGTATTAATGTGAATTTTAAAGATCCAACATGCAAACGTTTCCTTATTCTTATGAAAAGCTATATTTATATATTGTCCCGCATTGTGATCTGACTTACGTACTAATCAATTTGCGAACAGACTCGAGAACGGAACCCGTTCACAACCCAGGCACTGCCTGTATTACTAAATAACTAGGTGTGGGAATGTGTGGAGTTGGGACAGTCGTGGAGTTGCGAGAAACAAGGAAAGGGTTTAATGAATGAGTGTTGAGATAAGAGACACAGCAAGTAGTTTGAGAGGGAGTGAGAAAGATAGAGGTGAGATAGTTATGTGGGGAAAAAATAAGGTTTTGGAGGGAGAGGGAACTGGTTGACAGGGAGGGAGGAAGGTTGAGAGTGCAATTTGCTCTTTTTTCATTCTTAAGAATTTCTATGTGAATAGTTGTTTGGTTGAGTGGAACTTGAGCGTTGCTCAAAAAAGACACATTTTGTTGAAGCTTTTTAATCTTGTACTCATTGGAACAGTTCACAAGAAATATCAATGTAAAAGAAGGACAACGTTTTAAACTATAATAGAGTACTGATTATTTGGCATGAGAACTTTGGTTGGTAGGGGTATTGCCATGGAGAATGTGCATGGTGTGTACAAAGAATTACGCTAACCACTAATTTAGGATTGTTAGCTGGGCACGCAGTGTGGTGTACTTGCATGTAGTAGGAGGCCCGTGTTCTTCGCAGTCAGAAAGAACATGTACACACATTGTACCTGTTTCATTGCAACAAAATAGGTGATAGTCATTCTCTGTATCAGTTCTCAGGGCAATGTCTTAACCAATCAGAGTCATCCAGCCTGGTTTGAAATTTTAAAAAAACTTTGTGGTTAACCATCAGTCATCACAAATAGATGCATTCTCATGGCAACAGGTCTACCAATCAGAGTCCACTTGCCAACCAATGCGAATCAACTTGCCAATCAATCAGCACTCTCCTCTCATATAGCATTAATGATATTTTCCATTAACCTTGTATTTCTTACATGTTGACCTGATACAAGATGAAAGGCATCGAGAAAATATCTTTTTCAGCAGCACTCCATTTCTGTTCTGCTCAACAATGATATATTCCCGAATTAATTCCCTAACTTAACCTTTAGCACACAACTTATCTAACTTGTTGTGCTCAACATGACTAATACTTAAAAAAAGCTTGCAACTGCACACATTCTTTTGTCAACTTTGTTCTCTATAATTTGTAATGATTATATTTACTGTAGTTCTTGCCCAGTTAGTAAATTTAATAAAACTTTTGACTGCTGTAGAATATAATTTTTTAATCTCTCAGATCCTCAATCTGTTCTGCAGATTTGCAATGTTGCAACTTAGTGTTCTAACCCACAGCTCAACTGCGTTGCTTCGAAAATGGTTTGCACATTTTCTTTAACTGTAAATAACATAAAGCTGAAATATTGTATCAAAATAAATTTAGAATTTATGTTTTGAAAATAGAGACTGAATTATGTCTGTGTACCCTGATTTGGATATCTCCTGATTGCTCATTCTGCTTTGTCTGAAGATACTGTTCACCATGAATTCCTTTATACAATGTCTCTGGTTAATAACAAGTATGTTTTAAAAGTTGTGCCATAACCCATATTGGCATAACCCTTCCTTGTGAAATTTCTCTTTCTACAAGTGGATCTGTGTAGACTGGAATATCTACTTGGGTATACCCCCGATCAAATTCCAAATCTCAGTGTTGGAGTTTAGTAACTTGTGGGCAAGCATCCAATGTCATTTTCAGCACAGCTCATGGCCTTAGCAATCAGTTACAATGGAAGAAGGGGGTGTTCTAAAACTTAAAAGCTCTGAAGAAGAAATTTAACATTTCTGCAAACTAAGAAGGGAACTAAGAAACCTCATGTCCAGTAAAAACCGAAAGAACCGCGGATGCTGTAAATCAGGAACAAAAATAGAAGTTGCTGGAAAAGCTCAGCAGGTCTGGCAGCATCTGTGAAGAAAAAATATCAGAGTTAACGTTCTGGGGCCTGTGATCTCTCCAGAGGAAGAGATTGCCCAGCATTGGTTAGGCACAGATAGATTGAAATGCTGCATTTCACTCATTTGAGATATAATACACTGTCCCATTTGTATACTGCCTGTCCCACCAGCACCCAACCTGGGTATTTTATACATACCGACATTTTTTTTATTGCAAGTATCTACTTGCAGCTAATACATACTTCCTCCCTCCAACGTTGGAAGATATGTTGAGATAAAATCAAGTGTATATGTAAAGTAATAGGTGTCTGCCCTTTATTCTCAGGCTGATTGTTCCTTTGGGAGTGATGACACATGCAACAATTGGACCTGGCTGCATGACCTCTCCTTCTCCCTAATATTCTCCGGGTCCTGTTGATTCTATTGGACTCTAGGATCTGTCTAGGTTCTGCCTAGACTGGCCACAGTGCAAGATGTTAATACCTTCTCGAATGATGCCATTTCCTGCAAATCTCTGACTTCACTGCTGACAGATCTTACTTTAGCTACTAAGCTCCTGTTTTAATTGAATTTTCCTTGTGACGTTCATGAGATTTTGTCAGTTATTGTTTGGGAACTTGCCACAGCATAGTATTATACTAAACAATATTGTATTACTGTAGTGTGGAAGGCCGAAAACAAGAATTTGGAACGTAGGAATGCAACACATCACTCCAAGTTTTTAGACATTGGAATCCCAATATTAAATGATTAGAAGGTGAAGGCCTACACTGAAAGAATCCTTAAGAGCCGTGACGTAAAGGGCTGGAGTTAGAATGCAAAAGTCTGAGATGCAGAATGTTACTTTTGCTCCTCTCGGCTATAGGAGGAAGACAAAAAACATAATTTGCCCTGGATCGTCTTTCTGTTAAGCTTACTTAGTAGGCCATCCACGATGGTTCCTCACTCAGCTGCATTTAAAATTGCAGCCAGTGGCTAATGATAGCAGCAGACTCCGATCTGTATACTTAAAGATGGACTGTGCCAACTTTAGACAGGTGTCCATTTTGCATTACTCAGCAAAGCAGGATAAATAAGATAAAGGAGAATTTGGGGTGTGGCAAAGCAAAGCATCTGGGGAATGGGGAGGATAGAATCAACAACAACGATCCATGTTGATATCAGAACAAATAGTATCAAAAAGTAAGTCAGAAGTCTCACGACAACAGGTTATGGTCCAACAAGTTTATTTGAAATCACAAACCTGTTGGACTTTAACCTGGTGTCGTGTGGCTTCTGACTTTGTCCACCCCAGTCCAACACCACGCCTCCACATCATCTCAAAAACTTGACTAAACTGGATTTAGTGGGTGTTAATTTCCAGATTACTCGCCAAGCTATGCACTAAGTGTAACAAGGCTAAAGAGGTCGGAAAGTGAATGTGTAGTTAAAAGACTGTGTTGTTGGAAAGAAGGATTCCATTCTGTTGGTCAGTGACATCAAGAGAGACAGAAGGATCTTTATTAATAGATTGAGCAGAACCTAAACTGGACTGAGACTAGTATCTTAACAGAAAGTATAAGTAGGGCTGTGGAAAGGACTTTAACCTGCAATGAAACATGTAAATATGAGAGGCCCGTTTACCCAGTGTCCACAGCAGCAGAGAAACCCTTCAAATTCCGTAGTAGAGTTGCACAAAGCAATCTCAGAAATCAGGGGAGGTTAGACAGCATCTGTGGAGGGAGGGAGGGGGGGAGAGAGAGAGAGAGAGAGAGAGAGAGAGATACAGTTAATATCAGAGATAGTAGGAACTGCAGATGCTGGAGAATCCAAGACAACAAGGTGCAGAGCTGGATGAACATAGCAGGCTAAGCAGCATCATAGGAGCAGAAAGGCTGACGTTTCGGGCCTAGACCCTTCATCAGAAACAGATACAGTTAATATGTTGCTTTTTGGGCTAGAGGCCTGTGACCAGCGCTATGCTAGATCAATTGCTTTTTGTCATTTATATAAATGATTTGAATGTGAATATAGGAGGTATGGTTAGTAAAAGTTTGCAGATGATTTGCATCCCACTACCAAAGACATTTTTCCCTCCTCACCCTTATCTGCTTTCCGGAGGACCACTCTCTCCGTGACTCCCTCGTCCGTTCCACCCTCCCCACCAGCCCCACCACCCCCGGCACCTTTCCCTGCAACCACAGGAAGTGCTACACCTGCCCCTACACCTACCCCCTCACCCCCATCCCAAGCCCTAAGAAGACCTTCCACATCAAACAGATGTTCACCTGCACATCTGCTAATGTGGTATACTGTATCTGCTGTTCCTGATGTGGCCTCCTCTACATCGGGGAAACCAAGCCGAGGCTTGGGGACCACTCTGTGGAACACCTGTGCTCGGTTCGCAACAAACAACTGCATCTCCCAGTCGCGAACCATTTCAACTCCCCCTCCCACTCCTTAGACGACATGTCCATCCTGGGCCTCCTGCAGTGCTACATCGATGCCACCCGAAGGTTGCAGGAACAGCACCTCATATTTCGCTTGGGAGGCCAATGGTATCAATGTGGACTTCACAAGCTTCAAAATCTCCCCTCCCCTGACCGCATCCCAGCACCAGCCCAGCTTGTCCCCGCCTCCCTAACCTGTTCTTCCTCCCACCTATCCCCTCCTCCCCCTCAAGCCCCACCTCCATCTCCTACCTACCAGCCTCCTCCCACCCCCTTGACCTGTCCATCCTCCCTGGTCTGACCTATCACCCCCTAACTCCCCACCTACACTCACCTTTACTGGCTCCGCCCCCACGTCTTTGACCTGTCTGTCTCCTCTCCACCTATCTTCTTTATCCATCTTCTATCCGCCTCCCCCTCTCTCCCTATTTATTTCAGAAACCCTTCCCCTCCCCCATTTCTGAAGAAGGGTCTAGACCCAAAACGTCAGCTTTCCTGCTCCTCCAGTTCTGCTTGGCCTGCTGTGTTCATCCGGCTCTACACTTTGTTACCAATATTGGTGGTGTAGTGAGCAGTGAAGAAGGTTACCTCAGAGTACAATGGGACCTTGATCAGATGGCCAGATGGGCCAAGGAGTGGCAGATGGAGTATAATTTAGATAAATATGAGGCGTTGCATTTTGATAAGGCAAATCAGGGTAGGACTTGTACACTTAATGATAAGATCTTGGAGAGCGTTGCCGAACGAAGAGACATTGGGTGCAGGTTCATACACGAATGAAGTCTGACGCACACTTTAGGTTTAGACTTTGGGGTCAATTTATCAGTCTGCTACTTCTTCCCATCAGCCCTGCTTCCCCCAAAGACAGCCTGTTTTTCCAGGGAGGGTCTGTTCATCACCCTAACCATTGCCACCCACTGCTGGAGGCCTGAACACAACTGTTTGAGCTCCCCTGCTCCCGACCCCCTCTCACTGCTGACACCTGCTACTGGAGCTTCCATTATATTGTGGAGGGCAAGTCATGCCTGACTGTAATCTCAGGAAAGCTCTGCAGACTATGGTGGGTGAGCAATTTTGATTCACCGGAATGATGTTAGGGAAGCAGTAACTTATGAGGACAGACTGTGTTGACCAGATTTCTATTCCCTGGACTCTGTATAATTAAGGGTGATCTAATTGAGGTGTTTAATAGAGTAGGTTCAAGGAAGTTGTTTCCTCTGGCACCCAGAGGTGATGACGAATGATGTCAACCTTCTCAAGTGCAGTGCTAGTGGTTAAAGCTGTGTTGCCAACTAATTACCAATTCCCACGCTGAAAGGCCGTTTGAAATGCTTAAGCCTGTTGAAGCCTTCTTTGAGCAAGGTCAAGATTTTAAATTCATTTAAAAGTATTGAAAGATACAAGTCTAGTAAATCTGTGGTTTCATTGGGTTTCACTGTTGAAGCTGCTGTGTTGCTTCACCTTGGTGTGACTGTTTCAATATACCCATTTGATGACAGTTTGCTACCTAGGTATATAACATCATCCATTCTTATTTCCTCCACAGGGAATAAATTACATAGAACTTTTGAAGTTTATTCAAGTGGAATCAAAGAACTTATCATTCAATGAAAGGAATAGATTTAATGACTAAGTCTATTTTTTCTCCTATTATCTTGTGCGTTGAACATTCTGTGGTAATACTGTGTTTTATCTGTTTCACCTGTAAGTTAGTGGGCTATTCCAATTTTGAATCTTGCAGAAAGTTTCACCAAACCAGACGATGCAACTTTTGACATCATTACAGATGAAGAGTTGAATGACATTGATGATAACGATTGTTCTTCAGAATTAGGAAACCAGCTTCTCGTTCATTCCCTGTGAGTAAATACTTTACAGAAAAGCTATAGCTTTCATGTGAAACCACTGTCTTGTGGTGATATAATGTTGCCTGAATACTTATAAAAAGCCAGCGTTGAAGTGAGTAAAGGATTGTATCGTAGTGGTAAGTAAACCCTGCCTTATTATCATAGACCCAAGAAGCGTACATTAACATTATTTGCATTAGTTCGTAACAATATAAACTGTTTCAACACTCATCTTAGGGGATGATTGTGACTAGAGTATATGTCATTTCTGTATTGAATATTGTTTGTTGTGGCTGTAGAAGCTGAACTGTTCTTTCCACAGCAGATATTTGTTGTCCTGAGATTAAATAAGTTTTTCTTTCCTTCCAAGTGCTTAATGTTCCATCTGGTCATTTCTTTTCGCTTTTTACTCTGCTTGTCTCTAGCCATTCTGGTCTGCAGTGAGGACAAATAGCAATTAGAAATCCAACCCTTTAGCGGGAAGTATATACTTTTTTTATGTGTGGAAAGTATAATAGACACTTGGATAGGTATAACATGCTAAGTCGAAATAATAGGTATTTAGAAGCTAGAAAGTACAGATTTCTAGTTCTTGATCCATCTCCATGCCATCGATAACCCAATAAATCAGCACCCTACTCATGCTGCATAAGCTCCTTTTAGCAATGTTTAAGATGTTTTGAATGCAGAATAATGAATTCTGAAAAGGGTAAGGTCAGAAGTCACGTGACACCAGATTATAGTCCAGGTTTATTTGAAATCACAAGCTTTCAGAATGCTGCCCCTTATTCAGGTGAAGTGCAGAGAGGCACATAAGGCACAGAATTTACTGCAGTGATCAAAAGATCATACGAATGCTGTGAGTGAGTGTCGACAGGTTGAATAATAAGTCTCTGCAGGTGATCAAAGTGTCAAATGGTGTGAGTAAACTGTCAACAGCTGAATAACAAGTGAAGGGATGACCTATAATCTGATTAATTGAGGCAGAGAGATAATTGCAAAAAAATCCAAAGTAAGTTGGTGCTGGAGACAACCAAAATGGCTGGAATAACATGATAGGTATAAGAATTGCATGCCGAGGGTGTAACCAAAGTAACAAGTAATCCAAAACCATACAAACTAATTAAAGCAGAGAGATCACCAGTTATCAAAGTGATGGTGTCAGAACAGAACGGTAAGGAAAATTTTACAGATACAGAACAGTGTGATGGGATCACATGTAGAGCAGCATGAACCCAAGATCACAGTTGAGGCCATCTTCATGGGTACAGAACTTGGCTATCAGTCTCTGCTTGGCAATTCTGCCTTGTTGTGTATCTTGAAGGCTGCGTTGGAGGATGCTTCACATAAGATCAGAGGCTGAATGTCCTTGACCACTGAAATGTTCCCCAACTGGGAGGGAACATTCTTGCTCAGTGTTCATTCATCCATTATCATAGCGTCTGCATGGTTTTGCCAGTATACCATGCCTCGGGGCATTCTTGCCTGCACTGTATGAGATCAGAAAGTACATGACACCAGGCTATAGTCCAACAGGCTTATTTGAAATTGCAAGCTCTCAGAGAACTTCTCTTTCATCAGGTGGCGTCAGTGAAGCAGCCCAACACTGGCACCTCCACATCATGGCTGCAATGTATGTGGTAGACAACATTGGCCAAGACACTTGAGTATCTGCTGTGCGGTGGGTGGTTTTCCCACATGTGATAGCAGGATCCATGTCGATGATCTGACATGGCTTGCACAGGTTGCCATGACAGGATTGTGTGGTGTTGTGGTCAATGTTGTCCTGAAGGTTGGGTAGTTTACTGTGAACAATGGTCTCTTTAATGTTTGGTGGTTGTTTGAAGGCGAGAAGTGGAGGTTAGGGTAGAAAATGGAAATATATAACGGACCAAGAATTTTCTAATTGTTAGAAAGCCAGGTGATTACTGTTTGGATACTGAATTAAGTGAAAGTAAATAAAAGGCAACAGAATAATATTTTGAGTCTTTGAATATACTCCAAGAAATGCACTAAAATGGATATGTAATGACAAACAGTGCTTAGTGGTGTGCAAGTAAATAGGGAAGAAATTGTGCACAGCATTACATGTTGTATATTGATTCCAGGAAAGACACTGATGCTCCAGCACAGTTCTAGTGATAGCATGACACTGACCAAAAAAAAAGCATTGCCAACCTTTCACTTGATTCTAGAATCAAATCAATTAAATAATTACTTGAAACGCTACATAAACATAGCATTTGAAGTAGGCAGGTTATCTAATTGGGAACCCAAAATTCTAAACATGTGCAGGATTGCAACGTCAGACAGAGATGTGACTACTTATTTTGTCTATATTTTGGAGACAAATGTCCTATGAGTTTTAATAAGTCACAAAATTAATTTAAATAGTTCTTATAACTTTTTCAAAGACTGTGCATGTATGGTTAATAATGGAAGAAAGATAAGGTGGAGCAACAAACTTTGCGGAGACGCAAAATAGAGCTTGATAATGTGGCACATTATTTAATCCCTGTCACTAGTGTCTATGACATGCAAGTTCTGAATGTGGATGCTCTAAAGAGCGTTGTTTTTTACTCAGGGTGTTGTCATCACTGTGTATTTGAGTTTACACAGCTGTTGTACATTTTAAAACCTGTTCTGCTTTTAATTCATCACTGTTTCTGCTAACTACAGAGGTTACAGGGAGTAGGATGTAGGACCCATGGGTGTTGAAGAACACTCTATGAATGCAAAATATCTTCTGTTCTGAAGAAGAGTCACTAGACCTGAAACTCTGCTTTCTTTCCACAAATACTGCCAGACCATTTGAGCTTTTGTTTTTGTTATCCATGAAGAATGCGTTAGCACAGTTACATCTGGAGGTAACCAAGGAATGGACATCAGAAGAGCTAAGGCAGGTATGGAGACAGATGGTGGAAATAAGCAGTGTTAATGACGGCAGAGTTATGTGATTGAAAGCCCAGCTTGAAGTTAAGTGTGACACAAGGTCTGGCTCAGTCTTGGTCAGTTGTCAGGGAGAGGACTGGAATTTGTGGCTAGGGCACAGAGTTTGTTGCAGAGATCGAAGACCGTGGTTTCACTCCAACGAAAAGGATTGTGTGGTCAACCATATCAAAGGCTGTTAACGGGCTGAGAAAAGGGGAGAAGGGACTGTTTGAGGGATGTGATTTGTGATTTTTATTAACTGATGATTGATTTTATAAAAAAAAAGCAAGCAAAGTATCAAAGAAGTTAGTTATACTGAAGAAGGCATTCAGCCACTGGATGCATCAAAGGTTCACGAGAGGACTAAGGAAAGAAAGATTAGAGGCCCTATACCTGTTTTTTCAAAGTTCAGCTGAGTGTGAAATGTGCCTATGATTCAATCTAGTAAATATCCTCTGAACTGCCTCCAATTCAGCTACATCTCTGCTCAAATAAGGGGATCAAAACTGTTCACAATACTCCTGGTGCAGTCTCACTAATGCCTTATACCGTTGGAACACCTCCCTAGTTTTATGCTGTACTGCTTTAGCAATAAATGCTAAAATTCTATTTGCCTTCTGTACCAACATACTATTTTTCTGTGATTCATGCACGAGGATACCCTACAAGACACGCACTATCCTGACTCGGAAATATATTGCCATTCCTTCACTGTCGCTGGGTCAAAATCATGGAATTTCCTCCCTAAGGGCAGTGAGGGTCTACCACAGCACATGGACTGCAGTAGTTAAAGGAGACAACTCACCATTGCCTTCTCAAGGGCCACTAGGAATGGGCAATAAATGCTAGCCAGCCAGTGATGCCTATGTCCTACAAATGAATACAAACAAGATCCTTTTACACGGAATTATTCAAGTCTCTCCAGTTAGATAATAATTTGCCTTTCTATTCTTCGAACCAAAATGGATAATTTCTCACTTATCCACATTAAACTTCAATGCGTCAAGTTTTAGCCCTTTCACCTAACCTATCTATATCTGTTTGTAAATTTCTCATTTCTTTATTTTAACTGACTTTCCCACCTATTTTAGAGTTATCTGCAAATTTAGCCATAGTACCTCTCATCCCTGCATCCAAGTCATTAATATAGATTGGAAATAGTTGGGGGCTATGGTCCAAATCCTGTGGCACCTCATTAGTTACATCTTGCCAACCAGAAAAAGACCCATTTATTCTGACTCTGCTTTTCGTTGATTAGGCAGCCTTCTAACCAAGCTAATAACTTATTCCTTAGCCAATAATTTAGCTCCAACCCCATGTGATCTTACTTTGTCTATTACCTTTCACGCAGCGCCTTATCAAATGCTTTTTGGGAGTCTAAAAATAGTATACCTACAGGATCCCCATTATCCACTTTGCTTCTTATAGTTTTGAAGAACTCCAGCAAATTAGTTAAATACGATTTACCCTTCATAAAACCATGCTGACTATGATGGATTGCATTTGACTTTCCAAAATATCCTGTTGTTACTTCCTTAATAGTGGATTCTGACAATGCCCACTGACAGATGTTAAACTAAATGGTCTATTGTTTCCTTTTTGCCTCCCTCCTTTTTTGAACAAGGGCGTTATATTAGTATTTTTCCAATTCACTGTAATCTTTCCCACATCCAAGGAATTATACAATACGATAACCAGTGGGTCCACTGTCTCTGCTCCCACTTCCTTTAAAACCCTAGGATACAGGCCATCATATCCTGGGGACATGTCTTCCTTTGCTCCCAATAGTTTGCTCAGTACTTTTTCCCTAGTGATTCTGATTGTTCTAAATTCCTCCCTTTCTACAACCTTATCATTACCTGTTACTACTGGAGTGATACTAGTGTCCTTCACTTCCCACTTAACTCCCCAGTCTCATCCTTCAATGACCTTTATTCACTTTAGCTACTCTCTTCCCTTTTATATACTTATTGAAGCTTTTGCTGTCCATTTTTATGTTTTGCGCTAGTTTTCTTACGTAATTCATCAGGACTTGAGTCCCAGCATGATTTCAGGTGGAGGCTGTCCAACCTTCCTCAGCA